CAAGATGCCACTCATAGAGAGGCATCTGAATGCTCATGGGACACGACCTTCTATGAGTATTCTCCACGGTAAGAAATTTAACCAATATATCTTCGGGAATCCCAATGAAACTTCACCTTTCAAAATGTAAGTCAGTACAAACCAATAGTCCAATACCAAGATGCACTCAACCAAGTTCAAAATAATTTCAAGAAAAATGTGAAAATAACACGAAATTAGTTAATTCTTTATATCAATTGTTAGAATATCTGAAATTCCACGCAAGAAGAAAATAATGAGTGGAAAGCAGGATAAGTGAGACGCCCACAATTATCTTTGGATAGTCTAAACAAAAGCTCAGGCCTTTCTAAATTAGGAACCAAGAAAGCAATAAAGATGGGAAAAGACTTCAACTTTTTACTCAGTAGCTAGCCGGCAAAAGCCAGTCAGTAAAAATGGGTTCCCCAATACAATTCGGGTCTGGCTAAATTCTCTCCAGAAATCTCTATAACCATCCAAAAGCCAGAAAACCAAACTCGCAGTAGACTAAAATGGAATTAATCAATACTAGTTCTATTGATAGAATGCACTCACTGTTCTATACCAGCTAACTGTCTGATTGGATTGGGAATAGAACTCACTGAATTTACTCTCCTGGCCTCAAAGTCTTAGAACTCGGCCATCATGCGAGTGAAGCTGCCGGAATTCTTGAAGCCTTTCCATGGGAGTTATAGATCGTCGCAGAATTCCATGTTGCCTTTTTTCAGTTTTCCCATTTCGACATCTTGTTTTTCAGAACGAGACCTTTTTTTATGTTTGAAGGCAAAACCAGACCTATAGTTTTACAAAATGTTTGCAATGCATACTACGGAGTATTCAATTGGGTGTATGATACTTAGTTACTTAGTATTCATTTAATACTAATTTTTGAATAATTGAAAAATCATTTTCAAGAAATTAAATAATCATATTCGAGTAACTGGTACTGATTTTTTTTAAATCTAGCTATTCTCGTAAATGAGCATTCAGTTACTCGAAATAAGTATCTTGTTTTTGAAAAGGACTACTCAGTTACTCAAAGATAAGTATTCAAACAGGTGTAGACGAAACTGTTAGACAATAATAATAATAATAGTACTTCTTGTAGTATTGGTTATGGTAGTGTTTTATTATTAGTCAGCTTCCTAATCCTATTTGTGGTAGATTTGTATGTTAGTTAGTTTCCATTCTCTATTCCTAGTTGTGTTAGGAGTATCTCTCCTATATATACTCTATCATGTACTTCATAATTCAAGGAGCAATATTATTATTCGAATATTTCAACATGGCATCAGAGCCAGCGCTCTTGGTGACCTAAAAAAAGTTCTTTGCTCCCAAAGCCGCCGCCGGTAATTCCGGCGACGGCGGCTCCACCCTATTCACCTTTATTTTCTTTTTCTTCTTTATCCTCAAATCAACTTCTCCATTCAAATGAAAAAAAGGAAAAAAACTCCTGTTGAAATCACACAAAAAAAACAATCAAAGGAGGAACTTCTCTCTTGTCATCTCCATGATTCTTCAAAAAAAATCCCAACTCCTCACAAAATCTCTCAGATCATCCTATCTTCTCAAAAAAAAGGAAAAAAAATGATTGTTGTTTCTCTCCAATTCACCATATCAAAATCTCAGACCCAATTTTTTTTTCCATCACCAATTCTTAACCTATTTTTTCTCTCTAAAATCACTCATTCTAATCATCAACCTCCCTTCTCTTTCTCTTCTATTGAACCATTAAAAATCCAAAGTAAATCAGCACAAAAGCAAAGCCAAGAGGGGAAGTAGTGAAAGGGGAAATAAGACCTCTACAACTCACCCCTTCAAGAAGGAAATAGGGCATTGCCCGGATCCAAGAAAAAGACAAAAAATGTCAAGGATCTTCAGTCAAACAGGCACCTCCAGTAGCCTTCTCTATTCTTCTTCTCTATAGAGTATATATAGGAGAGACTCCTAACACAACTAGGAATAGAGAATGGAAACTAACTAACATACAACATCTAGCTACCACAAATAGGAGTAGGAAACTGACTAATAATCAAACACTACCATAACCAATACTACTAGAAGTACTATTAGTACTATTGTCTAACATCCCCCCTCAAGCTGAACTCTGGCTGAAGCAAGAGGAAGCTTGGACACTAGCCGGAAACTAGAAACTTTGAGAAGAGAGAAGTCTGACGTGCGCCGGTGGCTGCTGACGTCATTGGAGAAGAGAGAAGTCTGACGTGCGCCGGTGGCTGCTGACGTCGTTGGAGAAGAGAGAAGTCTGACGTGCGCCGGTGGCTGCTGACGTCGTTGGAGAAGAGAGAAGTCTGACGTGCGCCGGTGGCTGCTGACGTCGTTGGAGAAGAGAGAAGTCTGACGTGCGCAGGTGGCTGCTGACGTCATTGGAGATGAGAGAAGTCTGACATGCACTGGTAGCTGCAGACATCGTTGAAGAAGAGAGAAATTGACGTGCGCTGGTAGCTGCTGACGTCGAAGAAGAACAGAGAAGGCTACTGGAGGTGCCTGACTGAAGATCCTTGACATTTTTTGTCTTTTTCTTGGATCCGGGCAATGCCCTATTTCTTTATTGAAGGAGTGAGTTGTAGAGGTCTTATTTCCTCTTTCACTACTTCCCCTCTTGGCTTTGCTTTTGTACTGATTTACTTTGGATTTTTATTGGTTCAACAGAAGAGAAAGAGAAAGGAGGTTAATGATTAGAATGAGTGATTTTAGAGAGAAAAAGTAGGTTAAGAATTAGAGATGGAAAAAAAAAATTTGGGTCTGAGATTTTGATATGGTGAATTGGAGAGAAACAACAATCATTTTTTTCTCTTTTTTTTTGAGAAGATAGAATGATCTGAGAAAGTTTGTGAGAAGTTGGGTTTTTTTTGATGAACCATGGAAATGACAAGAGAGAAATTCCTCCTTTGATAGTTTTTTTTGTGTGATTTCAACAAGGGTTTTTTTTTCTTTTTTTTTTCATTTGAATGGAGAAGTTGATTTGAGGATAAAGAAGAAAAAGAAAATAGAGGTGAATAGGGTGAAGCCGCCGTCGCCGGAATTACCGGCGGCGGCGGTGGGAGCAAAGAACTTTTTTTAGGTCACCAAGAGCGGTGGCTCTGATACCATGTTGAAATATTGGAATAATAATATTGCTCTTTGAATTATGAAGTACATGATAGAGTATATATAGGAGAGACTCCTAACACAACTAGGAATAGAGAATGGAAACTAACTAACATACAACATCTAGCTACCACAAATAGGAGTAGGAAACTGACTAATAATCAAACACTACCATAATCAATACTACAAGAAGTACTATTATTATTATTGTCTAACAGAAACATCATACATTCAAATATAAGATATAGGTACTCCAAAATGTTAGGTCATCTCTTATGACGCGGCTTGGTAGAGGGTGTCAATGTTAAGTTTTAGGTAACAACCATGCCAGGAGTACACCAAAGAATATACCACAAATTGTGCTTCAAAAGTATGCACCAATATTTTGATGTCTCGCACTAGCACATAATGCTAGTTCAATAAAAATAAGCATTAAGATTTTGTGCTAGTGTAAGTTATCACAGTAGTATCAGACTAGCACAAAATGAAGGTGCACACTTATGGTGTACAATTAGGGGTACAACTTTTGGTGTACTGCGGGTAGGTATGTCTAGAAAAGTCTGTTTTATGTGGTTTGAAAAGAATATAATTAAAGAAGGAGTAAAAATGCCAATTATTTTGATAAATTAAAATGAATGTGTATTAAATTTGGGTTGATTGAAATTTTAAAAATAAATAGAGAGGAAGAATTCTAATACATTTATTATTCCTAATATGTCTCCCGCAAGCTGATCATCAGTTATAAGAAATATTTTGGAGCACAGATATTGGAATTGAGCTGGTGGTTGGAAGAAATTTTGTGAGGATAACCTCTAAAGGTAGAGAGTCAGATCTTTGTTGCATGACGAACAAGCTAGCTTGGGGTTACGTTTGCTGAGCTTTTTCTAGTGACAGTGTTGGCGATTGGAGTGAGGGCGAGGAATTTCTTTTTTTCTCTTTTTAGGTCATTCTATACTTCTCTATCTTTTCCATGATAGCTTTTGATCTCTAGAAAAAATATAGACAAATGTAACTTTTTTGTTCTTCGATCATGCACATGATTTTTTTGGAAGAGAGAGAGAGAGATACTCAATTTATTTGTGATGAGAATGGCAAACTAAAACGTTCAACAATGAATGTTGTTTATGAAGAAGTATTTCAAAAAATGTAAATGTTTTAGCAATGACTTTTGTACTCATTTTTCTTACAGTTTTTTAATGTAAAAAAAAAAATCATCTCACAATTATCAATTCAGAGTATAAACATGTATTAATATATATACTACAGTAACATAACTTTAAAAAATTTATTATTAAAATTCAAAGCACACTTTTGTCTGTGCAACACACAGGTATGATTCTAGTAATTAATAATAATACAATAAGAAGGTAATGTAATAAAAAATGTAATGAATAATAACGTTCTATTTCCTAATACATTTATTATGACAATCAGGGCTTGAAGGAGGTGGCGTTGCCCTAACTGCCCTCCTTACACCACCTGCTTCACGCCACAACTTCGTGATCCTATGTGGTCACTGCCACTGTGGAGTGAATGGTGATGAATACTGCCCCCGTCTACCGTGAGACATGCGCGTGTGTGTATCCGTGGCCAGCATCACGGAAAGAATCCAATTGCAGAGCAATCTATTTTTATTTAAATTAGTACCAATGTCAAGTTATATTAATGAAGGTAGATTTAGCAAGTTTTAGAAAAAAAAAAGTGTGGATATAGTCACTTTTTAGAATAATAATAATACCAATAATAATAATAATAATGATAATAATAATAGTAATAATAATAAAGTAGAGAGTGATTAGTTAGTTTAGTATTCTCTAGTAGCACAACATCATATCCTTAGTAACTGCATAGTGTGAGCCACGAGTTACCTAAATAAGCGTCTTATTTCATGCATTACTTTGACTTGTCCACACCATAATTAGCTCAACCTGCATTACTATCACCCCGCATTTTTGGTGTCTCACACTCTCTCACGTACCCATTCAAACCATATAAATACAATCCAAAACCATTGCATTATCATTTATCTAACATGCAATTCACCACCCAACATGAACACAACAATAACCCCTACCAACATCCTCCTTCTCGATCTTCTCCTTCTTCACCTCTCCTGCATCCTGTGTCCCAACAACGTCGCCTCGGACGACACCGTCCCGATCCCTCCCAACAAGGACCAAGTCAACAGCTGGTTCAGGGCCAACGTCCTGCCCCTCGAGGCGCGAAATGACGACCTCGACCCTGCCCTGGCCAGGGCCGAGGCCAACATCACGCGCATCAGGGTCAGCTGCCGCGGGGGAGGGGATTTCGGGACCATTTCCGAGGCGGTGGACAGCATTCCGGCGGGGAACGCGCGGCGGGTGATCGTTTCGGTCGCCGGCGGGACGTATAGGGAGAGGGTGAAGATCGAGAGGGAGAAGCCGTTCGTGATGCTGTACGGCGACCCTGAGGATAGGCCGACCATTGTTTTTGATAGCACTGCGGCTAAGGATGGGACTGTGTACAGTGCCACTCTGTACGTTTTATCGGATTACTTCAGTGCAGTTAATATTGACATTGTGGTGGGTACTCATGTTTTAGAGTCAATTAAACTTTTTAATACTCTATGTCTATTTCGATTTGATTATTTGATAAAATAATATAATAATATGTGTGTGTGTTACATGTATAGAACTCGGCTCCAAGACCAGATGGAAAATCGCAAGGGGCGCAGGCGGTGGCGGTGACCCAGAGCGGGGACAAGGCTTCGTACTATAATTGTAAGATGAAAGGGTTCCAAGACACCTTTTGTGACAACTCAGGCAAACATTTCTTCAAAGATTGTTACATTGAAGGAACCGTTGATTTCATATTTGGCAATGGCAAGTCTCTCTATGTGGTGCGTGCACACAATCAATACTGGCAAGTCTATCTCGCATAATAATTAATTAGTACACAATAACGATGATAAGATTTGAACTCGTGACAATTTAAATTTAGAAAAAAAAATTATACTCTAATTAACAAGGTTCTTGATTGCTTGCAGAACACGGAACTGCACGTGATCGAAGGCGATAACATGGCAGTGATAACAGCACAAGCCAGACACGCGAGCACAGAGGACACTGGGTACTCTTTTGCACATTGCAAAGTTACCGGAAAAGGGACCGGAGGGTTACTTGGGAGAGGATGGATGCCCTTTTCAAGGGTCATCATATCCTACACTGAGATCGGCAATGCGATTAAATCGGAGGGATGGATCGGGATGAAAGGCAAGCCCGAGGACGGAGGGTATGCAAATAAGTACATTTTAAAATTAATTCAATGATATTAAATTTACATTATCGTACTCGTGACCTATAAGTCAAAATTTATCAAATATAACAAATTTAAAGTTAATGAAATTGCTTGGACAATGCATGTACACGGCCAAAGTTTGTAAGGAGACTGACTGGCCCAGAAGTTAAGCCATTCCTCACACTTGGCTTCATAGAGGCTTCAAAATGGTTACTCCCCCCAACAACCAAAGCCTAAATTAAAGGATGGGTCGTCAGAATTGGCTGGACGGTCACCTGAAAGTAGGTAAAATGAATTTTATTGATCACATATTGGTGATAAAGAGAGAAGCATGCACCTGATACATGTAGAGATCTTATGCTTAATTAGCGTTAGTGCCTCTCAGTGTATTTACAAGAATCGAATTCGAGAGTTATCCTCTATTATTTGGCCTCAAATTAAGGTCCATGATTATGTAACCTTTCTTGGTTTTTTGTCCCGTTTAGCATCAGCTTAGAAGTTAGCGTTAGCATTTTGAAAAGGTCATCCGACGGCAGTCTTTAGCGTTTTAAGAATTAATCTACACCGTTAAAATTTTATCAAAAACGTCAATGCTAATTGAAAACGTTGATCCTAAACAAGGAAATGTGAAACAATTACGGAGTATATTGTTAAGAAAATGTTCACCTGAAATCCTGAATACTCCAAAGAGTATGTGATTTCACGCTAATATTCCAAAATTCAACAAATGATGGCATTGTTACTGTAATACTGTGTTGTTGTCAACTCAACAAAATACATGTATTTTAAATGTTGATCCAACAAATAAAATTTTGACTATTAAACATTAACTTCAAAATTCTCTAAATTTGTATATGAAACAATATGTACGATTTACCCAATTAAAATATAAATGTATTTCATTTTTATGTTATATTGTTACAATTCTCGTACGGAATACAACGGACGGGGAAGATGAACGGCCCCGAAAAATAAAAAATAAATAAAATTCTGAATTTATAATTTATTCAGAATATTACAAAATAAACAAAGTTGAAAAATAAATTTCTATATCTTCAAACAGCCTTGTTCCACGAGGACATTAAGCACTGCACAGCGAGGACATTAAGCACTGGACAGCGAGGTCTTTAAGCACTGGACAGCAATTCAAGGACGGGACGTTATGTACAGGGCTGCAAGGACATTACGCACTGAGCTGCGAGGTCATTATGCACGAGGACATTACCCGTTTCTGTTTTAAACTGATGGGGTCTAGTTATGACGCATTTTGGGTTTTTAAGGGTAATTTACGTAAATAAGACTAAAACATAATGACTTTCTCAATATAGGATATGTTTTTATTTCCCAATGTAGGACAATTGGTCATTATCTATTAGTCATTATTCAACTAAATGTCCAGCATCACTTGGACATTATTCTTCTCACTAGTCATTATTAAGTCCAATTTAGGGAATAAAAAAGTTTAAGTCCTACATCGGGAAATGACTTATGTTTTAGTCCTATTCACTACAAATTTCACTTTTTTTAATTAGTTGCCAACTCATATTTATTACCTTTCACGACAACATTTAAAATGCCACGTTGAATTTACTCATATTTGTCTAGTTTGACCTTTTCAAGTCACAATGGACAAACTTTAAAATTCAACTACTCTCAATTTGTATTGCATATATACTAGTATAATAAAAGTGAAATTTACCTAAATATGACTAAAACATAATGACTTTCTTAATATAGAACCGTATGTTTTTATTTCCCAATGTAGAACCATTGATCATTATCCATCGCACATTATTAAGTACTATTTAGGGAATAAAAATGTTTAGGTCCTACATTGGGAATTGACTTATGTCTTAGTCATATTTAGCGCAAATCATTATAATAAAATCATTTTATACTGATATATATTTTAACTTTTGTGTAATTAAAACTCAAAGTTCATTCTGTTTATGTTAAAAAAATCAAATTGGACAAATACACTAGAAAATAGGGAATATTTCGCTAAGTTGGCAAATACGAAATAATCTTTTATACGGAGTATATATTAAATTTGAGACTCCTAACTCTAAGAATGTGGCATGTAGCTTTTTAAAAAATGACACGTAGGTATTTAAAAAAGTGACATGTGGTGCTATATTTGTGGCATTATGTTTTGATAAATTCTCATTTATTAGGTATGACTTGTTTATGACATAAGTCACGTTTAGCATCAGCTTTAGATGTTAGCTTTAACGTTTTGAAAAGATTATCTGACAGTAGCTTTTAACGTTGGCGTTTTCAGAGTTAATTTACACCGTTAAAATTTTATCCAAAACACTAACGCTAATTGATAACCCTCTTTCCAAACAAGGCCATACTCTCAATAAGGAGCTGATTCTTGTGAGAGTAGACATTGGTGAAAGAAATGAGAATGATACATTTTTATGTGCCATGAGTATTTTACAAAGCAAAAAGTTCGTTATGATGTATTTTACAAAGCAGATAGTGCATTTTACAAAGTCCGATTTAACTACAAAATTGTCACCGTATTTTTTCTTCTTATTTTTCAAAATTTTAAAACTCTTAGATCTCAATTCTAAAACATCACATGCATTCTCATTTCTTTCCTAAGATCTCGTTCTTACCCGAACCAAAACCCTGGCAATAATTTGTATATATAGCTTGTTCGTTTCCACCGACTCTTTCGTACCATTTATAGGAGTGGTGTTTTAAAGGTGTCGCTGATCTCCTATACAAGTAAAGCACATGAAGCGCGAATGTTGTCCGGAATCAAAACACATGAAAAAAAATAAAGATAACTTCAATGGCTTCTTTATGCAGTTACATGTGTATATTTACTCTTCCCCTCCCTAAAAATTGACATAGATACTCCCTTCGTCCCAAAAAGATTGTTACGTTCCATTTTCTGCGCATCCCTTAAAACATTTTTATATCGTCTCAAATGCCAAAAAAACTTTCAAAACAATTTCATCTTATAATAAAGAGTAAATATGACAAATTTTAGAATTTTTAGATGTGAGTAGCAGTGCTTTTTGTGATGCGCAAAAAAAATGAAATGTAACATTCTTTTTGGGACGGAAGAAGTATTATTCTAAACTTGTGGTATATGTTTTTATTGATCATTGGATATAAAAAAATAGTCATGTCAGTATTTGTTTTCTAAGATCTTTTAGGTAATTTTTAAATATTTAAGTTGTACTCCCTCCACCCCAAAAACTTGTTCTTCTTTCTTTTTTTTCTTGTTCCACAAAGTTATTTCTCAGTTAAAAAATCATGTTTACCCTACTAGTTTTTAACTTATCTATCACATTATACTTTTTACTAATAATCTACCTATTACATCCTACTTTTACCTATCACATCAACGATATTTTTAGAAAGTCGATACAAAATATTTCTCTCTTAAATTTCATAAAAGTAAAAATAAGAACATCTTTATGGGACGGAGGAAGTACTTTTTATTTCTGTAGTGATTGTATATAAAATCAATTTAAAAAGACATGATTTTACACATTATTTAAAAATAAACAATTCTTGGGGAATTGTACTTCTTAATCTTAAGGCTCACTTATAAAATATGGGCTATCTCACACTTTAAATGGGCTAATGTGAAGATCTTTTATATTTCAAAGAAATCAATTCATCCATGATATTTATAAACTAAGACTCATAAAATGATTATAGATTGAAATATTTACACTAAATAGTACTAAAATTTAAGTAATTTCTCTAAATAGCACTTAAATTGTTTTATTCCCTAAATAGCACTTCATAATGTCTATAATGACTTGTGATGATAAACATTTACTTGAATAATGACTAATGGATAATGACTAAAAGTGATAGATTGGAAAAAAACACATGTAGCGCTATTTAGGGAAAGTCATTATGTTTTAGTGCTATTTACGTAAATTCCTCTTATAGATTTTAGGACCATAGAAGAATTTACCACTGTTTGGAGACGAAAGGAGTATAAATTATTATTATTATTATTATTATTATTATTATTATTTGGTGGGATATATTTTTATTGATATGTTACTACGGTGGCGTTCTAGTGACATCGGAGTACGGTGACACTCTTGTGCCACTGTCATTTTGAGGCACATCCGGTGCTCCATTCGTAAAATTGACGATTCATCATATCTCCCCTAACCCACTCTCTAAACCCCGCTCTTGCACCCCATCCCAACCGGCGTAATTCTCACACAAAATGTGTGGTCATTATGCATTGCATTTTTTTATTTTTTATTTTTTTGTGAAATGCAATTAGAAAGACTACTAATTGAATATATGTACTCCACATACTAATATAATAAGACCACCAAGTCTTAGTTGGCATTTTATTACTCCTACAACTACTTGTACTAGTGTGAGGCCTTCACCGGCACTCGTTCTCCACTCAAAAAGATGAAGCGTTTGTCGGCGGCCTCACTAATCATCATCGTCCTCGCCGCCGCCTTCTCCGCCGCCGCAAATGCCTTCAACATCACCCAAATCCTCGCCAAGCACCCAGAGTTCTCCACTTTCAACCACTACCTCACCGTGACACACCTCGCCGGCGAGATCAACCGCCGCATGACCATCACCGTCTGCGCCGTGGACAACGCCGGAATGGCCTCCCTTCTCGACAAGCACTTCACCCTCTCCACCATCAAGAACATCCTCTCCCTCCACGTCTTCTCCGACTACTTCGGATCCCAGAAGCTCCACCAGCTCAACAAGGGCACCACCCTCACCTCCACCATCTACCAGGCCACCGGCGACGCCCCCGGCACCGCCGGATTCGTCAACATCACCACCCTCAAGGGCGGAAAGGTCGGGTTCGCGCCGGAGGACAACGACGGCCACTTCACCTCCACCTACGTCAAATCCATCTCCGACGACCCGTACAAAATCGCCGTCCTCCAGATCAGCCACCCCATCATTTCAGACGCGGCGGAAGCTCCGGCGGCCGGCCCGTCCGACGTGAACATCACGACCCTGCTGACCAAACAGGGATGCAAGGAATTCGCAGATCTGTTGAAGAGCTCAGGGGCAGAGGAAACCTTCGCCGCAAGTGCCCAATCCGGGCTAACGGTTTTCTGCCCGGACGACAAATCGGTCCGAGGATTCATGCCGAAATACAAGAATCTGACCAAGGAGCACAAGCTATGGCTTCTTTATTTCCACGGCGTCCCGATCTACCACTCCCTGGAGATGCTGAAATCCAACAATGGGGTAATGAACACCCTGGCCACGGAAGGGTCAAATAAGTACGATTTCACCGTCAAAAACGACGGCGACACCGTGAATCTTGACACCGCGGTCGTGGTCGCGACGGTCACCGGGACGGTGTACGACCAGGAGCCCCTGGCGGTGTTCAAGGTGGACAAAGTTTTGCAGCCGAGAAAGCTTTTCAAGGCGGTGGCAGAGGAAGCTCCGGCGCCCAAAGGGTCGAAGGGAAAGAAAAAGAAGAGCGCCGACGGAGGGAAAAAATCCGGCGGCGGAGAAGACGACGCAGAATCGCCGGGGCCGAGCTCGGACGACGATGAGTCGGCGGATGATACGGCGAGTGACAACAAGAACGGGGCCTCGGCGTTTGTCGGCGGTTGGATCGCGAGGGTATTATTGGGAGTTTGTCTGGCGAGTTTTGTCATTATTTCTTGAGGGACCGGCCAGTGTGGCACTGTGTGTGTTTCTTTTTATTTTTTTCCCTTTTAATTATTATCATTATATTATCATTACTTGTATTATTATTATTATTATGGGATTAATGGGCTATGAACGTGTGAGTTATCATTTGCATTGAGATTGCCAAACATTGCATATAATAATTTACTACTGTATAATTTTTGCTCCAAGCAAGAAAAAACAAAAAAAAAAATTAAAGGTTTGATTTTGGTTTGGTGTTTTCCACATGAGTTCATTTTCCAAATTTAATTGCCATATTTATTATACACATGGTAAAAGTGTAATCTCATTTTGACTCATTTGAAAAAATAATATAATCTTGTCAGATCTATAGATCTTTTGATTTAGTTTTCAAATATATAAATTTTATATTTAAATTATTACTAATTTTCAAATAAAATAAACTAAAAATAATTTTAGTAAAACTTGGTAAACAACATGCTAAAAAATGTTCTATGGGGCGTATGAAATACTTCATTCGTATGAAATTTTATTAGCATTTTAATTTTTATCTAAACAAGGTTCTTATTTTTTTTGAATCTGTTGGACCAAAAAATGCAGAGTAAGGTCTATTTTGGACTAATGTCCAACAGATTTTCCTCATGACATTATTTTCCTTTTTTTATAAAAAAATTTTATATACTTCTTTTTCATTCTTTTTTATTTTATAATTAATTCTAATCACTAAAAAAGATGTTAAAAAAATAGTTCTAGGAAATAAATTAAAAATTTATATACGAAGTATGAAAAGATAATGAGAAAAAAAGGAAACAAAAAAACAGAAACAAGAAAATGAACAAAAAATGAGAAATGAGTTTGGGTGCATGGATATAAGGTTATGTTTTATGGGTCAAATGACTCATAAATATTGCTATGAAAAATTGGTTAGAAGTTTAAGGGATATTTTGCGTGTGAAAGACTCTCGTAGTCAGTTCAAACTTTTGGTGGAAAAATAATTGTTTTTGGTGGAGATTTTAGACAAATATTAACAGTGGTTCCTAAGGAAACAAAGCAAGACATTGTTCATGCTACAATAAATTCATCTTACTTGTGGAGAGATTGCACAGTCCTAAAATTAACAAAAAATATGCGCCTTTCCAACGATGGTTTACATAATTCAATGGAGCTGCAACAATTCACAGATTGAATTGCAAGTATTGGAGATGGTAAGACTGGAGATCCAAACGATGGTGTAGTTGATATTGCGATTCCATTAGATCTTTTGGTAGAACATGGTAATGACCAAATTGAAGCCATTGTCGAAGAAATATACCCCGCAAGTGGCACTGTTGTTGACAACAACATACTAGAAGAATGCGCTATATTAGCCCCAACATTAGAAATTATTGAAGCGGTTAACCAATACATTATGTCAAAAAGCAATGCTGAACAACGAGTTTACTATAGTGCAGTCACTGTATGTCAATCAGATATGAGCTATAGTTTAATAGTTTAGTTATTGATATACGCACACCGAATCCATATATATCCAAACTATTATTGATTACAAATGAAAAAAATTCTTATCAACGTTATTCTAAAATTGTAAACATTATTTATTTAATTTAAAGACTATTCAAAAACTAATAAATAATATATTTATATTAGTTGACAAATATATTATCTATATTCAATGATATCTTAAATACTTTATGCTATAAAATATATTTCTATATTTTTAAAATTTATAAAATTTAAAAAACCTCTTTTTAATTTAGTCTAATACTCCCTCTGTCCTAGTTTAATGTTCCCACTTTGGCCGGGCATGAAGTTTAATAAAAGTTAAAATTTACATTGACTTTCCCAAAATACCCTCCACCTTACCCCACTTCCCCACTCATTCCTATCCTGCTCAAATTACTGCCCCCAACCTAACACAACCGGCCAGAACAAAATTCCGGCGACCCAAATAGATCAAATCTCCGACCAGAGAAAATTTTGCCCATTTTCCCATACACGGTGAAATACTAGTTATAGAATTTATTCAAAGATTCTTGAAGAGTTGTTGAGATAGAAATATTTGCATTAAATAACATTAAAACTTAAGTTATTTCTCTAAATAACCCTTAATTTTTTTTTCTTTTAAATAACACTTAATAATGTCTAGCAATCTATTGAGATATTGGGTTAGATGACTTAGATCTAGACCTGGCAAAAAATGACCCGACCTGTTTTTGACCCGAAACCCGACCTGAAAACACTGGGTTTTGAACAAAGGTTTTGATGACCGAACCTGAAGTTGACCGAACCCGAAATGACCCGCTAAAAATGGGTCAAACCCGACCGAAACCAAACCCGACCTGATCGACCCGCTAAAGTAAGAATTTTTCAAAATCATACACTTTATTACTCGTTTTTAGTGTATAAATTTATATTTTCAGACAAAATTTTAATAATATTGTATAATTATCTTACTTTTTTCTGAAACTTAAACATTTTTAAATTCATTATAATGATTTGTATATCTAAAAATTACTTCAAAGTTTAAAATAAAATAATTTTATAGATTTAATACATTTTTTTGATATTTTAAATTTATTTAATAAAAAATATAAGTGTAAATGTAAATTTAAAAATATAAAAAACCAAAGTCATAATCCGTTGGGTCAACCCGAACCCGATGACACTGGGTCATGAATATACAGTTCTTAACCCGAACCCGAATTGACCCGAACCCGAAATAACCCGAACTTGAAGTGACCGAACCCGAACCCGACTTGACCGACCGATTTGCCAGCTCTACTTAGATCTCAAAAGATTAGATTTGGTTTAGGTTAATGAAGGGGAAAGTGGGAGGACTAGGAGTTAACATGGGCATGTGGGCAGGGCTAAACAATTTGGGCTGGACTGGGTTCAGTTATTGTGAGTTTGGGTATCATAAGCCCTTAACCGAAACCCGACCGAAAAATCGAGAAGGATAAAACGTTAAAGAAAAAGCAAAATCGCCCTAAAAACAAAAATTTCCATTGCCGGGAATCGAACCCGGGTCTCCTGGGTGAAAGCCAGATATCCTAACCGCTGGACGACAATGGAATGGTTGTTGGGGTGGATCGATTTTTAACAAAAACATTAGTGCAAATGACTGAAAACGACATCAGATAACAAGCTGTTGAAGCAATTTATTCATAAAAACATTAACATACAAATAAGAAAAATTTGTATGAAAACGGAAGAAACTATCTTGACTCATTTTTCTAATAATATTCTAGCATAAATTTTATTTTTTTATCTGTTTTTTAGCAATTTTTTCTATTAAATACAACACTTTTTTCCTTTGTCACTTTTAGTTATGCCCATTATTTCAATACCATTTTTTTCTCTAGGACAATGCATATTTATTTTTAAGAAAAGGAATGCATATTTTTTTTAATTCTCAAATTTTAGGTTTGCTATTTTTACTTAAATTTAGTGATCGCACGTGAGTTAGGTTTACCGCACATACATCTTCTCCTATCAAAACGATCCTCTTTCACCAATCTTCTATCAAAAAAGCACTCTTTCCCCCCTTCGTCTCCAAATGAATTACACGATTACAATTACGGTGTCTTAATAATTCTGTTTTTTGTATGTTTCCATCAATCGTTTGATAAAATAAGATTTTCTGTATCCTCTTATTTTGTAAAATTTTTGTTGTAGTCTTTAATATGTAAGTTTTTCATTTTTCTTTCTATACCATATTTGTATATAAAATGAACTTTAAAAAAATGAGGTTTTGCACGTTGGACGAAAAGTGTAATTCATTTGAGAACAACAAAGGGAGTAAAGAATATGTAGTTTACAATCTTCTCTTTCGTGTAATCAAATATTCCATCCCAAAAAAGACTTTTTATTTCTTTTTTGTGATGTTACAAAAAAAGTTTCTTCTTTCTTTTTCTGAAAAATTTTAAGTTACTCATAATCTTTCTTTCTCCTATGCATTACTTTCAACCACAAATCTCCACTTTCATTATACTTTGTGCCAAGACAAATTAGGAGCTTTTTTGGGAGAGATGAAGTACTAATGAGGGACATTCTTCTTTATGATGCTATACTTTTGGGTGAACTATCCATAATTGTTGGGATAAGAAATAGATATGAGCCAATAAAGATTTTGGACTACATATTCATTATTCCCTTTGTCCTCTAAAGAGTTACACTCTTCAATCATCGTGCACAATCTAATTTTTTTAAATTTATTTTATTTATAAATTGATATAAAAATTAAAAATAAACTTACGTATTAAAAGACAACATCAAAAGTTCTAAAAAATAAGAGGCGGCAAAAATATTTTATTGTATCAAATGATTGATAAAACATACAAAAAAAATAATGTTATAGAACCGTGTAATTTATAAAGTTACCTATCTAGTATTGTTATGGCATTTTTGACATTAATAAGAGTATCCAGCGTGACATTATCTTTAAATGTCCATTTTACCCTATTTTCTTAATTCGTAAGATTATATTAATTTGGGTTACCACATTGCTTTTTCTTACCATCCCCTCCCCTTGCTGCCATCACTACATCCCTTCCCCACCACACTGCCTCCCCTGCCACCACACTACCATCACCACCAAACTGCAACCCTTCACCGCCACACTGCACAACCTTGACACTGTCTCCTTGTGCTGCCACACTTCCTCTCCCACCGCCACACTGTCATCACTGCTGCCACCACCACCAATGCCACCCTCGCAACAGTACAATCATCACCATGCCCGTCGTTGTCACACTACCATGAACAACATCAACATCCCTGCCGCACGACAATCCACCACCACCACAATGTCTCTCCCACCACCACACTACCTCCCCACTGCCACACTATTACCATCACTGCCACCACTACCATCATCATCACTACCAGCGCACTGTCACCCCACCATACTTCCAACTCTATCACCTCATGTCACTATTTCGCCAAATTATCATTGCCATTACAACACTGCTGTCACGATCACCAGCGCCCTAGTAACACAGCCACCATCGTGGCCACACTGCCTACTAATTAGCCGCCATACTGTCACTTATCCTGTGGTGATCTTGGTAGATGGCGATGTGAGTGAATAACTAGAGAGTTTGAGCGGCGCCGTTGTGTAAAGAATGCATAAACGTAACTGCTACATGCTAGTAACAAGTTTTAAATAAGTCAAAATTACTTGTCTTGTATCCGACTCTTTATTTTAATTAAACAACAAATACAAAGTACGCATAAAGAATGTTTTTTATAGAACCTGACTTGTTAAAAAAATTACACGTATAATTTGGGTTCGGTCTACACCAGTCAGCATCTACTCCCCCGTCCCCCTGTATTTGTCCACATTTGACTTTTGGAACTGTTCATCTAAGCACTTTGACTCATCAAATTCTCTCAATGTGTAAGCCTAAATATAGTCATGTGTGATCTTGTTTGATTTGTTTTAAGATATAGATTATTAATATATAATTTCTATAATTTTTTAATATACAAATTACAAGATAAAATAGATTAAAGAAGTGCATTGGATGGTGTGCAGAAATGAAAGTGGACAAATACAGGGTACTGGGGACGGAGGGAGTACTTTGTTTCATACTTTAATCCTCGTTTGGCCGCCTTGCAGAGACTGTGGTGCATATTCGGCCACATTATCAAAAGCTGATTTGTTTTCATGAAACTAAAAAGTCTGGTATTTGATGGAACAAAGGAATTAAGTGAGTATAAAGAAAAAAAGAAAAGCAGAGAAATATCTTGTTCTTTCCAATTTCCGGTAGTTTTAATGAAGTAAACTTCCTTGCAAACAAAATTTAAGGAACTTAACTTCGATTCCTTGTTCCATAGCAGTTCGTTCAGCTCAAAGCCTGTAAGTGTCTCAATCATTTTTCCTAATAAGTTAATTTCAGGCTTCTCTGTTACCCTCTGTGTTCTTGTGTGGAGCTTTGATTAAAGATTAGATTTTTAAGTTTGGGAAAGGTTGATTTTGATTGTTCTGAAGGAAATAGGTCGTGCAAAGGTTATAAATTGGAGAAGACAAATGAGGGTTTGCTCGATTTATTCAGCTAATGTGTTTTTACATGATCCAAACAAGGATTAAAAAACATTTCTTGAATCTTCTGTGAAGTCTATATTCTTTTCTTGTGGCAAAGCAGGATTTATCATTTATGCATTTCTTGATTTGAAGCTTTACTTTGTTTCTGGCTCAGCGATTCTTTATTACGGAGTAGTAATCTAAAATTCAATTTTATGATTGAGGGAATTGATTAGTTCGATGCCAGATGCTTAGTGATTCTTGATTCTTTGATAGTCTTCTTGTTAAGAATAAGGTTCTTGGAATTCATTTTGTGAAAATAAAGGGGTTTGGCATTACCCAATTGTATGAGAGGCTTGAGGAATGAGGATTGTCCTATACTTATTAAGTTGTGCTTCCATTTAAATTTAACCCACACTCTCCAACACATTTATTGTGGTGTCTGCTCAGGTTTCATTAGAAATGGAGGCAGCGCCAATGCTGGCTTCACACAGCTTTTACTGTCGTAATGGAGAATCAATCGACGATCTCAGCTTGTCTCTACCAATTTTGCCCTTGTTTTCTTTGAAATTCAAGGTGCATTCCATCAGACACCCAAAAATTGTCCGCGGGTTTTCAGTACGGATGCAGCAGAGGGAGTCTCCCACAAGACTAGGTAGATACGGACGCCCTATAGAAATGGTACCCACAAGTGAAATCATGAGGCGGAAAGCTCCATCAGTAAATGGAGTTGAAATAGTGAATGGAAAAAGTGGAGCAAGCATAGTTAAGAGAGACGCTGCTCCTACTGTAATGAGAAAAGCCAAGTCTATAGAGCTTCCCCCTGTGGATTTGCCTTCAGATGAAGGTTTCATTTGGGCGAGTGAGAATTATAATTCTGTTCAAAGAAGCATAGATGTATGGTCCTTTGTTCTTTCATTACGTGCACGCGTTTTCTTAGATAATGCAAAATGGATGTATATGGGAGGCTTTTCAGAAGATAAGCAGGTGCAAATTCGTTCTATTGGGACGTTCATTTATGAATTTATGAGTATTAAACTATAAACTCAATTTCAGAAAAATAGAAGAAGGAAAACTGCTTCATGGTTAAGAGAGCGCGTGCTGCAACTTGGACCTACCTTCATCAAACTCGGTCAATTATCCTCAACTAGGTCTGATCTTTTTCCACGAGAGTTTGTTGACGAACTTGCTAAGCTTCAGGTAGAACTGTCTTTTCACCAAAGCAATCTTGATAGTCCGAAGTTTAGAATTTAAATATTGAATAAGCTCAACAACCTTGTGAGGAGGTTAGGAGGAAGTCAACTTCTTATATGCTGTGAAATAATATATCTATTACTCTGACAAATCTAAAAGCAAATAGATAGTCTTCAAATATGATGTTTTGATTAATAAATGTGTGCATCGGATTCAGGATAGAGTGCCTTGCTTCTCGCCAGAGAAAGCAAAAGATTTGATAAAGAAGGAGTTGGGAGTTCCGGTTGATCTCTTATTCAAGGAATTTGAAGATAGACCAATTGCTGCTGCTAGTCTTGGTCAGGTGTGTGTTGACTGACTTGACTCTTTTGTATGATCAAAGTAATTAATGGTCTGACTTTTGAATATGATGGGTGAAACATGAGTAGAGCAATAAAAATGTGTTCTTAATGAGTAGAGCAATAAGGGTAAGGTCTATGTACACACACTCTCCCCACCCCAAATCCTACTTACTCCGTATATGGGATTGTGGGAGTCTACAGGATTTGTTTGTTGTTTGTTATGCTCTTAATAATGGGTTTTGGTTAGGTCCATCGTGCGATCTTGCATAACGGAGAAAGAGTTGTGGTGAAAGTTCAAAGACCTGGCTTGAAAAAGCTTTTTGACATCGATTTAGGTAAGTCCAAACGCCACACCGAACCAGATAAAAGGGTATTGTTTCGGGGAAGGGTCCCACCACAAGGTGTAATGTAGGCAAACCATTTTGTTGTTTGGCAAACGGGTGATGATGTCCCTTCTTCATCATGCAGGAAATCTAAAATTAATTGCTGAATACTTTCAGAATAGTGAAACGCTTGGTGGCCCATCCCGGGACTGGATAGGGATTTATGAAGAATGTGCCAAGTGAGTGAGATACACTTACACAATCTTTAGTGGGTGTGATTTGTTTTTTGAAAAGTGATTACTTTGATAACAGAATCTAAAAGCATCCAGAGGTGCTTCTTAGCTTTTGCTTCTCTGTCTCTAATAAAAAGATGAAATCAGACACCTAAACACTCCAAACTGCTTTCATCCAATGTAAAAGCTGAGAACCTTTTTTTAAAACTCGTCCCGAACACCCTCTTAGATTTTCACCGAGTAGGCTTTCAGGTCAATTTGTAAAAATGCATCAATATTCAATATGCCAATCTTTTTTCCTTGTACTTACCGATTTAAGTGTGTAATCATGCACCTCAAATTCTAATTAGTAATAACCAAAACCAGCTATCAAGAACAAGAAATGTTCAAGTGACCATTCATTTTATATGCTGCCATTGTTTTCTTTTTTTTATGAATTGCAGGATATTGTACGAGGAAATTGATTATATAAACGAAGGGAAGAATGCTGACAGATTTCGACGGGATTTTCGAAATGTAAAATGGGTCCGAGTTCCTGTATGTTTCTCATTTCATCAGCTCATCCTCTTTTTTTTTTTTTAAATTTCAAATACATATAACAATTATTCAGATCACCGTAAATAATGTAGAAATCTTCCCTCAAATATTGCAGTCTATAGACTAATAAAATACAAAAAAAAATCCTATAGACTCTATATTGAGTATACCCCTCTTAGAGTGAATTCTCTAAGCAATCCTTTATAACAGGAGGTTTCCCAATATAATTCTCTATTCCAAATTATTCTCTTTGGGGTCCTCTATATCTCTATATTTGGGAACTATTCCGTTTCAAGTCCTTTAGAGGAAAAGTTCTCAAATATAAAGGACTGAGAAGAGTATATTTTTTTTCCACATGCAGTGCACAAAGAGCTTATTGTGGAGTAGTTCTCAAATATAGAGGATTACGAAGAGAGTAGTTTGGAATACAAGACTATATTGGGAAACCTCCATGTTATAAAGTACTGTTTAGAGAATACACTCTTAATCTTATCAGCCAGATTTTTGAATTTTTCACCAAACACCATCTTGCTACAAATTTCATTGTGCTGACCATTCGACTATAGAGTTATAGTGAAGAAAAAGTAGTTCGTGAAATATGTTTAACTCCTTTTTTTGCTGTAAATGCTGATATTACTTCTACCTCTTTTTAAAATTATTATCTACATAGTATAATTTATTTAAAAATATAAATTTAGATGATATCAGTCATTTCAACTACAACTTCAACCAGATTACTCAATTAATCCATTTTAAACTTTACCAAACGGGCTCGTAGTTTTCAAATTCTCTATCGCAGATGTTAAACACTTCCCCATTAAATTTGAAAGTTTTAAATGAAGCAACCTAAGAACTTTTGCTTTTAATATTGAAAAGATACTACTGAAAAAAAAATCCATTTAAAGTGCTTGAATCAAAATTTCATCTTGATTGTATTCCTTTTAAATGTGCTTCTTGTTTTTCTCTGCTGTAGATGGTGTACTGGGATTATACAGCCACGAAGGTGTTGACACTGGAGTATGTTCCAGGTGAATTTAAAAAAAAAAAACACTCCTAATAACTTTCTTTAATTATTGTGTCACATAAAGCATTAAACTATTTATTACCTTAATGAGAGCAGGAATAAAGATCAACTCGTTGGATGCAATTGAAGCACGTGGTTTTAGCAGATCCCGAATATCATCTCGAGCAATTGAAGCCTATTTAATTCAGGTGTAGTAGTAGGGTAGACACGTGGACCTTCATCAGGCTCTACTTTTTGTGACTTTTTACTGGGTTTGTTGTTGTTGTGGTCTGTCTGAGCTGATGTTCATTTGGGACATGCTTTTCTACCTTTTTAGGCTTGTTTTGATTAAGCGGTGGTCTATCTCAGGTGGACAAATGGTTTCATTCCATTCATTACTTTAAAATTTAAATCTTTTATTTGATTAATTGTTATGCAGATACTAAAGACAGGTTTTTTCCACGCCGATCCCCACCCTGGAAATCTTGCTTTAGATCTTGATGAGGCTCTAATCTACTACGATTTTGGTATGATGGGAGAGATTAAGAGTTTTACCAGAGAGAGGCTGCTTGCTATTTTCTACGCTGTTTATGAAAAAGATGCAAAAAAGGTTTGTATTATTATTATTATCATTATTACTACTACTATTACAATAAGATTGAATGGTTGTTGCTGTGCAGGTTATGCAAGGCCTCATTGATCTTGGAGCACTTCAACCCACTGGAGACATGTCTTCGGTATGGTACAAAGTTGTCTTCTAGACCTCCAAAAAGGGAGGGGGAAAACCCATGGAATTTGTGAGGTATTATGAACAAGTTTTTCTATCAGTTGATCGATCTATTGAGATGTCTGTCACTCTACTTGCTAGGTGAGGAGATCTGTTCAGTTTTTCTTGGATAATTTGTTAAACCAAAGGCCTAATCAACAACAGACCATGTCAGCAATTGGCGAGGTATATATTAATATGAACTCTTAATTTTGCATTGGGAAGAAATATCCTAAGAATTCTCTGTGTTTTGTGGTCAACCTCGCATTATAAATCCAATTCCTTCCTCTTTTTTTTACTACAAATTTTAGCTCCGCTTGTTTTTTTGCTCACAATTAAAAAAAAGGCGAGTGGAAAAACAAGAACTAAACTTGGGTTAAGGTCTGCGTACACGCTTTCCCCCCCCCAGACCCAACTTTCTTGTGGGATTCTACTGGGTATGTTTCAACCGAGGAAAGATTTCCTCTTTGCAGGATTTGTTTGCCATTGCGTTGGATCAGCCATTCCGATTTCCTTCCACCTTCACTTTTGTCTTGAGGGCATTCTCAACCCTTGAAGGTTCTCTCTCTCTCTCTCTCTCTCTATATATATATATATATATATATCACTCAGCTCATATATTACGTAATATTTATGAAATTACATTTCTGCAAAATGTGATAATCGCAAAATTTAATAGCCCCTTTGGTAACCAAACACGGCTTATTATATGCCTCTTTAAAAGCAATATAAGTACAACAACAACAACGAGTTGAATTCAACAAGAGTAGGGGCTGGGATAAAAGCAATATAAGTATATTCAGAAAATTCAGAAATCCATAAAAAGTTAACTACAAATGTTTCATCAATCCACCATCATCATCAACAACATAACTGCTTTTTTTATACGCCGTTGAATTTCAATTTTTACAGGCATCGGCTACAATTTGGACCCAGAATTTTCCTTTGCTAAGATTGCAGCCCCATATGCGCAGGTTCACCATCTATATTCACTCACATTGCATTCCTTGCACACAAACGCTGGTTTTAAAGGAAACATATTGACATTCAGGAGCTCTTAGATTTGAGACAGGCGCAGCAAGGCCGAGCGCAACTTGTCCAGGAATTAAGGAAACAAGCCGATGATGTACCTACCTCTCTCTTCTCCATCTTCGTAGTCGATTAACTACCTTATGTCATTTACTTGTAGAAGATCAACATATATAGTGTAAAACCCGGTTCTTTTGACACTAAGGGCTAGTGTCTTAATATGACACTGGTCCATTTGAAGGTCCTACAATGACTCCAAAGTGCTTCCTACCACCCTAACCCTCCTAGTCCCCCACAATCCACAATCAAATGGATTGTCACCCATATGGGGAAGGGGTTGGGGTCGAACGGATAACCGTAAGGCCCTGAGATGGACTGGGTTGAGTGTCAATATAACCTCAGTTATTTTATGTACGTGCATGCAGGCCCGGTCATCAACCATATCAATGCCTTACAGAGTTCAGAAGATCGAAGAGTTTGTCAAACAACTTGAATCTGGAGATTTGAAGCTACGAGTTCGAGTCCTCGAGGTAATTATTTCCTGCCCAAAGAAAAAAAAGATTTCAAGAATCGGTTTATGGTCGTGTGTGTGTGTGTGTGTTGTTGAAAGTTATCTGGCATCGACTAAATATGAACCAAAACAACACACATCAGTCAGAAAGAGCGGCGCGCAAGGCAACCGTACTCCAAATGGCAACCGTGTATGCAGTTTTAAGTGGGACACTAGTGAACCTCGGTGTAACAATCAGCAGTCAAGGCAATCAAGTTGTTGCCAACGCAGCGTTCGTTTGTGCAGGTGACGAAATAATCTCTTCGATTCCATCAAGCTAAGAGCTTTCTTGTTCTATGCATTCTATGTTTTGAAAACATTCGGCTAAGTGAACTGCATCTTTTTGGTTTGCAGGTGTTTTTGTAACCTTGTTCATTAGGTCCATGCAGAGGGTGAAGAGTCTTGAGAAATTTGAGAAAATGATTTGATTTTACATCTTATGATTTTCTCTCTTTTGTTTATTCTTTTATTTCCCAATAGCTAAAATGTTTGTTTTTTCTTGCATAGGTTGGAATGTAATTACTATAACAACTTCTAAAGTTGATTGTGTATTGTGATTGCAAAATGTAGGCGCAGAATTTGACTCGGTACATAATTTAAGAGAAGTAGAGTTATACTCCCTCAATTCTAATTTAAATTGTCCCTTTCAATTTATGATATTTGATTGAAATTATTTTTAAATCAATTTATTTAAGAATTAGTGTAGAGTTTTAAAATAAAATTTATACTTTGTATAATTTTCACAAAATTAAGATCATTTTTACGTTACTAAATTAAGATCATTTTTGAAGGATACAAATTGATATCTAATGGAATATAGAAATTTTATTATTTTAAGACATAAAAATTAATTGACTTACAAATTTTGAATTTCTCGAAATCTCTTGAAGTTTCGTCCCGCCAAAGAATTATAGCATAAAAGGGTGGTTTGTAGTTTTCGTTGTTTGATAATTGCGTAGCACTTTGACTCTTATCCGTAAATATACATTATCTTCTTTCAATTTTTCTTTCAAAGTGCGTATATTCGAATCTCTGACCTGCACATGTATTCGATCTCCCTAACAATGCAAATGAAAAAAAGTATATATGAGCATAATTACAACGTTGTTAATGTATACGTATTTTAGGTTCATTTTAGTGAAACAACTAACCTCTAAATCATGAAAAATTACATCTAAAGATTCAGGTCTCCTAGCATGGGCGGAGACATGATAAACTCTTATCGCTTTTAATTGAAGCATCAAAATAGAGGACCTCTCATCAATATTTTTTTACAACCGTTAACAACCCCATGTTACTTAAGCGTAGAATGAAATGTGAAGTGTCGATTCCACAAGAGCCTGGACGTGGTCTCCTATGATAAAATGTGACCACATTGATGTTTTTTTTATGGTTCGTTATTTTGTATGGCCTGCGTGCCAAGTTTGTGCATATTGCTTGTTTGTATTATCTTTGGTCTTGTTGTTTGTTGTCTTATATATGCACGAAACCATTCTTATGGTTGGGCATTTGACATTGATGTACCGTTTTGATTATGGGCAATAATAGTTTACATTTTACACTCGAAACGTAGAATGGAAACGTAGTTCAAAGAGGATAATTACGAAAAGAGTTTGAGAATGTCCGTAGGAAAAATTCAATTTCTTTTTTATTTCTGAATTTGTAATTTTTTTTATTTTCCGAATCAGTCTAATAAGCCCAGCCCTTTAATAAAAATGGAAACTTATTATTTTTTTATAGGCATTAATTTTTAATTGATGCTTACCAATATTAATGCTTATTGAAATGTTCGCACTTTCTATTTCCAAATTTGTAATTTTTTTAAATTTTTGGAATTTGCCTAGTCAGTTTAGCCTTTTAATAAAAAGGGAAACTTATTGGTACATACACTATATATTTTTTTGTATTCTCCCAACCAAAAAATGGAAACATAATACTTTTTAATCAATGCTTAGCAATATTAATGCTTATTCACATGTTACTCGAATAACACACACTTTCTATATATTACTTTCACATATTTTTAAATTTAATTTTTAATCTATTTCTGATTTTTCAATTTTTTCATAAATATGCTATTAGCCCTTTAACAAAAATAGAAACTTATTGGTACGCTATACATAATTTTTTGTATTCTCCCAACCAAAAAATGGAAACATAATAATTTTTAATTAATGCTTACCAATACTAATGATTATTCATATGTTACTCGAGTAACACACACTTTCTATATATTACTTTGACATTTTCTTTACATTTAATTTTTTTTATTTGCGAATTTGTAATTTTTTTATTTTCGTAAATACGCTATTAGCGTTTTAATAAAAAATAGAAACTTATTGGTACGCTATAATTTTTTTGTATTCTCCCAACAAAGAAATGGGAACATAATTATTTTTTAATTAATGCTCACTAATATTAATGCTTATTCACATGTTACTCGAGTAACACACACTTTCTATATATGACTTTGTCATTTTTTTTAAATTTAATTTCTTTTCCTATTTCCGAATTGTAATTTTTTCATAAATACGCTATATATATTTTTGTATTCTCTTAACCAAAAATGGAAACATGATTTTTTCTAACTAATGCTTATTCACATGTTACTTGAGTAACACAATTTTTATATATTAATTTGACACTTTCTTGCTTTCCAAAAACAACATTGACATTTTCTTTAGATTACATTTTTTTTCCTATTTCCGAATTTGTAATTATTTTATTTTCATAAACACGCCATTAACCTTTTAATAAACATGGAAACTTATTGATACATTATAAATATTTTTTTGTATTCTTCCGACTAAAAAATAAAAACATAATTTACTTTTTTTCAGATGATCATCTGAGTGATTCGAAGGAGTCCTGAGAAGCGGAGTCATCCTTTTTTTAGTGGGATGAAAAAAATTTACCGGAGTAGAGTAGATAAAAAAATGATGAGGGGGAAAGTTAACAGGCCGGCTAGAAGCCTAGCATTAAGGCGTCACGCGTGATACAACGGCAATAAATTAAAAAGACAAAAATCTAAAGAATTTGATCCCTAGCTAACCATTACCCAAACTATTGCACTCTATAATATATTAATATTCCACCGCTCATAAGATTTTACAAAAAGGAAAAGGACCAAAGTAGTAGTAAAACATATGACATATTCTCAAAATAAGAGTTGAAACATAAACTCTCCTAAATAAGAGTAATTAACTTAATTAATCTAATAACTTAGAGTTAAGAGCGAAATAGAAGTAAAACATCGACTATGTACCAAAATAGAAGTTATATTCATATTACAATGAAATTATATACTCCCTCCGTTTCTTAAAACCCTTCCTCTTTCATTTTTTTTTTGTTTTTCTCAAAGCACTTCCTCTTTCTATTAAAAAACCACTTTTACCTCTACTTTTTCATACCCTACCCTCACATCATACTTTTTCACTAACAACTAAACTATCACATCTTACTTTTACCCATCACATCAAGGGCAAAATTGGAAAGTCAATTACAATTTAACACTTCCTTATTTCCCCCCAAAGTCAAAAGAGGAACTCTTTTGAGAAACGGAGGTAGTACATTTTATCAATTTAAAAAAATTCTAAATTAGCTACAGCCCTGCCGCACATGTCACTCTTGCGGCCATTGTCGGTACTGTCGTTCCCGCCACTCCATCGCCACAATCTCTTGCTGCCATCGCTATTAAATGCGGCCACCATCTACATTGTTGCGGTCACTAACACCGCCACGGTCGGTACTATCGTTGTCATCGCCACCACGATCTACCGCTCTCATGCCCATTTGTTGCGGATGCCGCCTCCATCGCCCCCATTTTCTGCTGTCAATGTTAGAATTTACTGCAATTGTCGCCACCATAATGCTACGGGGTCACTGCCAAGGGAGAAAGCTTTCAGTTCCAATACAATGCCAACCAAAGCCACAATTTCAAAGATGATAATGCATACTGACAAACATGTCATTGCATAATGCCAAACATGTTATTGCGTAATGCCAAACATGTCAATATAAAATGTAAAAAAGAAAGTGAAATGTCAAGATTGCCAACATACAACGTCAAATTTCTTATTACTATCACCAAATTTTGCTGAAATTGGGAGCAAAGTTTAAACACAACTTATAGAAAAACAATCAAACAAAAAAATTAAAAGGAAAAACAATCAAATACAAAAATGAAAAGAAAAAACCAAACCAAAACAATGCCTACTAAAGATACAATTTTTTTGAGAAAAAAAGGATGAAAGCAATTAGTTAGAAATATTTTTTACTTCTACAATGCAGTCTCAATTATAGAGCATTTGGAAGCTAATTAAAAATCAAAATCATAGTCATTGCGACTGACAGTAATCTCAGATCTAATGGATATGGGCGGTGTGGTAGATCTGCAAGGGAGAGAGATAGAGGCGGCGCTTCGCGGCGGATCTACAGGGGATGCTTCGTGACAGATCTACAAAGGGGGGAGCTGGTGTAGAGGCATTGTAAGGAGTGGGGCGGCGGTGATGTACTGCATGCACTGGGGTGGATTTGACGGAGGCAACGCTTCAAAATGGCAAGGGTGATGGCCAAAAATGAGAGAGAGTGAAGAGAGAGATGCATGGTGGGGTGGCTGTGAGATGGACCAGAAAGAGAAGAGATTAATTAGAGATTTAAAACTATTAATGAAGTTTTCTTTATTGCTTAATTAATTACTCCTATTTAGGGGAGTTTAAGTTTGAGCTCTTATTTTGTGGATATGACATATGTTTTACTCCTATTTAGGGGTTTTTTTCTTTACAAAAAAAAGTGGAATGATCCTCTAACTTAAGAGAGGAAAGGGCACTAATGGGTACAATCTATGCACCCGCCAATCCTTCAATGTCGTTTTATTTCTACCCTCAAATACCCACAAGCTACAAAATCACTAGCAATACCAACCCACATGTATCCAAGAACTTTTTGTTTTCCTCTTAAAATTTTAAATAAATTAAACAATTAAATGTAATTAAAATTTTATTAAAATTTAAAATATTAATCCGTACATAATTGAAAATCGGAAAAATTAAATACGACAATTCAAACCAATAAAACTAAAATACAAAAACTTAAACTAAATGATCCTTCGGCGGGTTATATTTTTCTGCAGTTTGTCGTTTTAAAAATATCGTTATTGGAATCTTTTGGCAGTATGGATGTTTTGAGACCATCATTTGAGAAATTAGCCATTGAGGGTTTGAATGAATAAAAATAGTGAAGGTTTGAGTTAATAAAAATGTTGGAAGTTTGAGTGAATAAAAACGGTGAAGAGTTAGAAGTATGTATTTATGAGTAATAATGATGTGTAATACATTAATTATTAATGAGTGTTTTAAGATTTTCAAGACATGCTTCAAAAAAATCTCCATGGTAAAGGTTTGCCTTCAAATCTTCAATTAAGAATTGGCGGCATCCTAATAGCTCAAGCACATTTGAGGCATTTTGTATCCGGTGAATGTTATGTCAGAAGATTTATTTTGAACAAAAAAGTGTGCGATGGTTCATGACCATTTTATTTACACCTTTCACATTATGCAATGATTAAATAACTTTACTTTTTAAAAATCAACTATATTCAAAAAAACGGAGTAAGAATGAAACTTAAAAAATAATTAATAAAAAACACAAAATATTTTAGTGAAATTTTAAAAGTGCTTAAATAATACTCCGTACTTAAC